TGGCCCGGCCCAAGGGGAGACAGGTGTCCCCACGCCCCAGGCGTCGTGGGCGGGACAAGTGCCCTACATCATCGGTGCCTGAGGGGGACAGGTACCCCCACATCATTGCTACCTGGAGGGACAGGTACCACTACATTATCAGTACCTGAAGGGGTATAGGTGCCCCTACATCATTGCTACTTGTGTGAGGTGGGGGCTAGGTGCCCTCACATCATTGTTACCTAAAGGGGCAGGGGCCTCAATATCATTACTACAAGGTGGGAACAGGTGCCACTACATCATTGTAATCTAATGGAGGACAGGTGTTTTTACATCATTGCTACCTGAGGGGGACGGGTGCCCCTGTATCATTGCTACCTAGGAGAGTCAGGGTGACACTAAGGTGTATGAACTGGGTGCTGCTTGCAAGCATCACTGGTACCTGGGGACGGGATAGGTGCTTCCACATCATTGGTACCTCAGGGGTTATAGGTGCCCCACATCATTGCTACCTGTATGGGGGTGGGGGACAGGTGCCCTCACAGCATTGTTACCTAGAGAGGCAGGGGCCTCTATATCATTCCTACCTGGAGGGAACAGGTGCCATTACATCACTGTAACCTAATGGAGGACAGGTGTTTTTACATCATTGCTACCTGAGGGGGACGGATGCCCCCATATCACTGCTACATAGGGGAGTCAGGATGACACTAAGGTGTATGAACTGGGTGCTGCTTGCAAGCATCACTGGGGTACCTAGGGTTGGAGGATAGGTGCTCCCACATCGTTTCTACCTGAGGGAACAAGTGACCCCTCATCATTGCTACTTGAAGGGAAAGGTGTCTCTACATCATTAGTATTAGTACCTGTGCCCTTGCTCCTTGGATGTTGGGGGAAGGACACATGCTTTCACTTGTAGATCTGAGGTGGGATAGGTATCTCTCCCTTTTGGGCACCTGTAGGGATCTGAGACGGTCAGGAAGGCAGACGTGCTCAGTCCTGGAGCTTGGATTGGAGATAGCTGCCCCTTCTCTGTGTGGCCCGTATGGTGGGGACCTGGTGATGTTCTTACCACTAGGACAAGGGACAGCAGCCCACAGATGAGCTCTGACCCCTCAGGAACAGGGTGGAGGGACAGGTTTCCTCAGGTGGTTGGATGCCATTTGGTGTGCAGAGTCAAGCCTGGTTATCTGCTAAGCTCATCTGGGAAACTGCCGGTGGGGCTGGAGCAGAGGCTTGGTCAGAGTTGGGCCAGGTTGAAAGCCTGGCTCTTCTCCTTAATTCTCTGGCCACGCTACCGAGGCAAGGTACTGAGCTCCTCCAGCCTCCTGTCCTGCTTTGTGAAGTGTGTCTAGCAAGCCCTTCCTGGTGGGTCAGGAGGCAAGCACGGGTTGCATAGGTATTGGTAATGTTCTCTGTGTTCCTGTAGAGCAATGGCACCCCCACCCTGCACCTGGGGGCCTCGGAGAGGGTTCGACACCCACATTGCTGGTTTCTGGATTTGGCCACAGGTCTGACCATCCCAGGCAGACCTTCCTCTGTGACTCCAGCCTCAGTCTGATTCCTTAGGTGGAATTTTCGGGTCACATTATTTTCTAATTAGTTGCTTGTTTCTCCGTGAGATTGTGACCTTATAGACTAGAATGTGTGTCTATTTCCGTGCATTTATTCGGCACATACTGGTTGAGTGCTCACTGTTAGCCAGGTGCTCCCTGTTCCTGCTCCAGCAGCTCCTGTTCTTTGAGGACATAGAGGAAGAGATGGTTGGCGAATGAATGAAAGTATGCAACTGGAGTGTCCCCCATAAGTCAGGGCTTCTGAGGACAGGAGTCCTCATTTGTCTCCAGCCCGTAAAGTGTGCTAACACACAGTAGGTGTCAAATGTATGTAGTGTGACAGGAAGAAGGGGGTCGCACTAAGTTCATGGCTGTATTCATGATTGGAGGTCCTGTTTTTGCCTTGGGGTTGGAAATGGATTATTGTTGTTGAAAAGATTTCTTTAAAATAACAGCTTTATTGAGATACAGTTCACGTACCATGTAATTCACTTGTTTAAAGTGTACAATTCAGTGGTTTTTAGTGTATTTACAGAGTTGTGTAACCATCACCACTATCTAATTCCGGAACATTTTCATTACCCCTAAAAGAAACCTGGTACTGATGAGCAGTCCCCACTCCCCCCCTCCTCCAGCTCCTGGCAGCCACCAATCTGTCCCTATGGATTTACCTGTTCTGGACAGTTCATGTAAATTGGATCATACACTATATGGCCTTTTGTCCCTGGCTCCTTTCACTCAGCATGATTTTTTTCAAGGTTCATCCATGTCGTAGCATGAATCAGAAAACTTCGTTCCTTTTTATGGGTGAATAATATTCCATTGTATGGGTGGACCACATTGTGTTTATCCATTCATCCATTTATGGATTTAGAAAAGATTTTTTTTAAAAAGATTTTTAAGATACACAGACAGCAGTTCTCTTGGCCTGTTAACCATTTCCCATCTCCTTGTTCCCTCTGTTGCCTCCCTTTACTTCAGGATTTGGGGAGGTGGGGTGGGCATGGGCCTGGGGCAGAGGTGAGCTTACATGGCATTTTAAAGACAGAGCAGTGTTCTCTGCAGAGGGCAGTTCTGCCCCCCAAGGGGCATATGGCAATGACTAGAGACATTTTTGTTTTCTTGCCTGGGGAAAGGGTGCTACTGGCATCTGGCGGGTAGAGAACAGGGATGCTGCTCATAACCCTATGATGCACAGACGGCCCCCACCACAGAGAATGATCTGGTCTCAGATGTCAGCAGTGCTGAGGCCCTGAAACCTTCAGTTTAGAGGGAGCTCTGCACTCCTGCCAGAAGACTTTGCACCAGGGCCGATAGAGTTCAAAGCTCTGCCCCTACCCTCATGGCTGTTCCACCTGGGTAGGCTGATGGCTTTTCCTGCACCTGGGACCATGATGGACAAGCTGTACCCAGCCCGTTTGACTATTGCCTGTAGTGAGTGGCACGTCTGCAGTGTCTGGTGCAGGTGAGTGAACCCACCTGATGCAGGCTCCCCTCCTGCATTCTCTCTGGCTGCAGGCCCTGTGCTGCCTCCTGCTGCAAACACCAGGGTTTCGCATGCACCTTTGAACAGGTGTAGCATGGCCCAGTTGGGAGCTGCTCCTCTCCTGTGAGTTCTGTAGGACAGCTTGCATATTCCTGGAGTGAGTAGGGCCACTTGTGCTCCTGTGTGTTCACTCATGGTCCTGGGTGGTGATGGACATGCCCAAAGTGCCTTCCCACATGAAAGGCCAGTCAGCAGGCGTTCAGTGTAGTGAGCAAATCCAGGACTGAGGGGCAGGGACACAGGGTCAGTTTCGATGCGGGGACAGGGTATGATGTTGGGGAGACAGATTTTGGGTTGTGGGGTGCAGGGATAGGTGTATAAGCATTTCTGTCCCGTCCTTAGACTTAGGTAGTATTATATGCAGAGAAGGGCTGTGGTGCTCTGCTGTGTGACTTTGGGCAGGTTTCTTAACTTCTCTGGGCCTCAGAATCTTGACCTATAAAGTTGGGGTAGCCTGTTCATTCAACACAATGATATTTTTGATAGTTCATTATGTCCCAGGGACTAGGTTGGGTGCTGGGGACCCAGCAGCATACAGAGCATACGAGGGCTGTGCTTTTAGGGAGCGGGCATGATTTTAGGGGGCACAGGAGAGAATCGCTGCAAACAAATGAAGCAGAGGCACTTGGAGAGAAGAAACAGGGTAATATGGCCTGGCTGGGGGGGCTGACACCAGGATGCCAGGCAAGAGCACCCCAAGTATGGAACAGGCAGGTGCAGGATCCTGAGGTGGGGAGGGCTTGGCAAAGTTGAGGACAGGTCTGAGGATAGTGAGGCTGGCTTGTGGAGAGAGGGAGAGAATAGGTGAGGTTGGAGTGGCTTGGGGAGCCCTGGATTCCACCTGAGGGAGGGGCCCTGGGTGGTTTGTGATGGTGAGAAGTCTGAGCCATTGCTTGTTTTTGTAACAGCTTTATTGATATACGATTCCCAATATATTCAGCTCACCCATTTAAAGTGTACCATTCAGTGGTTTTTAGCACATTCACCATGTTGTACAACTATCAACCTCTATCTGTTTCCAGAACATTTCTGTCACCCCAAAAGGAAACCATGTCCCCATGAGCAGTGCTCCCCACTCCCCCTCCCCTAGCCCCTGGCAGCCACTAATCTGCTTTCTATCTCTATGGATTTGCCTGTTCTGGACATTAATTATCAATGGACTCATACAACATGTGGGCTCTTGTGCCTGACTTCTTTTACTTGTACCGTATGTCAGTGCTTCACTCCTTTTAATGGTTGAGCAATATTCCTCTGTGTGGACCACATTTTGTTAATCCTTCATCAGTCAACGGGCATGTGTGTTGTTTCCACTTTTTGGCTGTTGTGAATAGGGCTACCATGGACATTCATGTCCAAGTGCCCATGTGGACACAGGTCTTCCTTTTCCTTGGGCGTACACTGAGGAGTGGAATTGTTGGGTTATATATTGGATTGTTGGAAAAGTCATGACGTATTTTTCAATGTTTTTCGTTGCAAAAATGCATCTTGATTTTTCTGACAACCCAATAGTAACTCTCCATTTAAC